GTTAACACCCTCAATCTCTCTTCCATTTGTCTTGGTGCTGCCTATTGGCCTAGTGGTGAGAATCTTTGTCTTCTTGATGTTGCGATATAATCATATTGAAGACTACAGTTCTTGACTTTCTGCAGAAGATGCTTCAGGTCCTCCTCAATTTCACTGAATCAAGATTGGGTCAATGGCATAACAAAAGTTGTTGGAGGATGACAAGTGTTGTCTTCCAATTCTTTTTCTTTTCTTTTTTATTGAGATTTTATGGAAAGCTTATAGAGACTTTGGATTTCCATTCATTCATTTTTTCACATTTTCCTCCATGCCCACCCTTGTCCTCCAGTTTTGATGCCACATTCTTCCTCATAAAGAGCAGCCTCCTTAACGATCTGTTCTGCATGTAGAATGAGAAGATATGGGGATATTATGACACAACCCTTTCCTGATTTTGAACCATACAGTGTTTCTTGCTCTGCTCTGATGACTGCCTCCTGGTCCAACTATAGGTTTTGCATGATGTTCTGGAATTCCCATTCTTTCAAGATTGTTGTTGTTATGTGCCTTCAAGTTGCCTGAGACACTATGTATAACAGCCCTAAATCTTGCTCTATCCTATGCCAATCTTATTGTCTCTGACACACCTACCCTCATTACCCCAGTCACTGAATCAATCCATCTCATCAAGGCTCTTCCTCTCTTGCACTGTTCCTGTACCCCTTCAAGCATGACATCCCTCTCCAAGGACTGGTCCTTCCTCACAACATGTTCAAAGTATGTCAGATGAAACTTCAGAATTCTTGCCTCCAAGGAGCAGCCTGGTTTAACTCTTTCCAGGGTATATTCAATACTCCTCTTCAACACCACATTTCAAAGGCAACAGTTCTCCTTCTATCATCCCTAGTCATTGTACACCATAAAAGATTAGCCATAATTTATTGTGATCCATAAAGAACTGCCTTTGCATAGTCAGTGCATATTTTCTTTTTTTATTATTAAATTTTATTAGTTTTATTGAACATTTACAGAGATTTTGGGTTTTCATTCATTCATTGTTGCACTGATATTTTCTTGTTACTCAGTGATGTCGGAGACGTAAATCTCCAGAGATTTTCTTATTTTCTGCATTATGCAAACATGAGATTAGTTTTATTTCTATGGGGGAGTTGTGTATTTTCCCCTTGTGAATTGGGTAAGACTTTAACAAAGTTTGAAATTTTCATTGAAATTATCCATGTTCATCAAATAACAGAAGGGCATGAATCTCTGGCAACTAAAATCTACCAGTAGCAGCGTGGGAGAAAGATTGGAAATTTACTCCCATATTGTTTGCATCCTTGAAAAATTGTTGGAGGTCCATTTACGAGCTAATTGTGATTCCATCACAATGACTTTGACTTTAATGTAATTAAGCTAATTTCTGTCTAGCTAATATTTCTCACTTCTTGTCTTTCATAATTTTACTTCAATATTTAAAACCACTCTCTGGACTTCTCCATTTTGAAGTATTATAATCTTGTTATGATTATACTTAATTTGTATTAATCACTGACTGATCTTTTTATCTACTACTTGCTTAACACTTCAGTTTGATGATTTAAAGACTGTAACATCCACTAGTTGTAACCTACTCTGACTTGAATAATATTTGTTTTTCTCAGGCTTCTTAAAGTCTCTAGAGCAAGAATTTCCATAATTAATGCATTAATAGGCAACAAGGAGGTAAAATTATCCCTCTATGCTGATGACATGATAGTATACTTAGAAAACCCTAAAG